AAAAAAAAAAAAAAAATACATTTGTAGTACTCTGATGGAAGGAGCAGAGGTATTTAAAGATGCATCAGGGACTATCCCTAACCATAATCATAATAATGTGCTGTTTGGCTGCTGCATTCTAAGTCGAGGACCAGACACACAGGGATCTACACTGTCTCCCTGAAGTCATTTGTGTGTATTTAGGGTTTCAACTAATTTGTAATCTTTTCTTCTCATTACTCTGTCTAATCAGTATATTTAGGACAGCCTAAAATAGCATGTGTGTTTACAAGAGATTTTCCTGTCACTTGAACACCTAGAATTTGAGGAACTGTAAACAGTGGTTAGCATCTCTTTAAGACTGTGTATTTATATTCATCGTTAGTAAAAAAAGTGTTTACCTTATGCATAGTACTGGGAATGCCTGTGTCTAGGTGAAATTGCACATCTTTAGCTATTGAAATACAGCAGTCTTAAATCTATTTTGATATTAAAATACACTTATTTTGTTCTGAATCAAATGGGTAATGTTAGTGTTCTTCATGATGATGTATTTCTGATAATAAAGGATGGCCAAGAATTTAACAACAGTTTGTTGTGGGAGGGTTTTGTACATTTCCTGAATGTTATTTTTAGTTAGAATCTCTAAGGCAGTTCTGAAAACTCAAAGAAGAGAATTACCAGGGCAGTGTGTGAGCTGGAATGCGTTGCTGGACACATGTCGTACCTAGGATATTGGAGAAAGTAAGGTTGGGCTAGTAAATGTAAAACGTCACCAGTGATTAGAGCAGAATGGTTATCAGATTGATCTTTTGAGCATTTTACTATAACTTTTTTCATTATGACAGATTATTTGGATACACTAAAGTTACCATAGTTAATGCAGGGAGGAAGGTAGATTAAAAACAGCTTTAACCTTTAGCGAGATAGTCCTTAAATATAATTTATCTGTGTTTTTCAAAAATTCTGGGTATAAGAGTTAAGACTTTGTTTTTGTTGTAAACAATACCAGAAAAATTGATCACGTAGGAATGTCTGACCTGCTTTATTTAGCAACTCCAATTCTTTTTTTTTTTGCTTTTACTTTGTAAATATTTTAAGACAGCCTACAGAAATAGTTAGATTAGATGGAAGAGGCAATTAAAAATGAATTATATGCCAAGGTGAACTTCCATTTGTCATAGCTAAGGCAACCACAGTGTTCCAATTCGTTTGTGGTTACAAGTGGTTATCCTTATTCTAGTTTTCTTTTTGCATTTGGGGGTAACATAAGTAATTATATTAATATTTAGACATAATTTAGCTATATTGTTGTCTATAAGGCAGGGAGAATAGAACAAAACTGGCTTACAGGATCTCTCTGAATCATAGCTGGGATTTCTGTATATTGAAAGCGTTTTCTCTTTCAAACAATGATATTTATGGTTTTTGACTATTCTAAATGGACATCTTTCTAGAATATATAAATCTTCCTATGCCTTAAACAATGTATGTGAACCTGTATTTAACTTTTAGGGGGAATTTTTGGCATTATTGTTGCAGAGATAGAATTAAGGAAATCTAAGAAATGTGACATTATAGTTCGTGTAAAGAGTGTTTGTCAAGCATGTTTATGTCATTGCTTCCCTAAAGGGGTCTTTTTAGACTCCCCTCCCTTACGAAATTTTAATACCACAGTGTACAGTGTGTCCGTTTCTGTAATGTATGGTGGAGCTTTATACATAAAAAGAGTAAACTTTTCCAATGCCATTCTTTCCACAAATAACCACTTAGCACCTTAGTTGAGAATACATGGTCTAAACTAATATTCTCAGGCTCAGAGAAGTTCAAGAACATGTTCAAAGTCACAGAGCAGAGCCAAAATAATATTTTTCTATGCTTAATGATAACAATGTTCTTTGTGCTCTGAGTTCTAAAGAATTGGTTGTCAGTTTATTCAGGCTGCTATGTTTTGTGAGATTTTGTGCTTTATTTTTAGTGGGTAAGTTTCATTGGGTTTCTTTTCATTGTCAGGCACTGTGGTGGCCTCTTCTTGTGTATTATTTCATTTAATATTAACATCACTGTCGGAGACAGGCAGCAGTTTCATCCGCATTGCAT